CAGCAGCAGCAGACCACCCAGCGGCGGCAGCAGCAGCAGCAGCAGCATACCCATACCCAACGCCGCGGCAGCAGCAGCAGCAGACCACCCAGCGCCAGCAGCAGCAGCAGCAGCAGACGACCCGGCGCCTGCAGAGCACCCAGCGCAGCAGCGCCCAGCGCAGCAGCGGCAGCAGCAGCACCAGCAGCAGCAGCACCAGCAGCACCGGAAGCCCGGCTAGCTTTCGTTCACCCCCTCTGGCCTCAAGTTTGTTTTCTTCATGGCTCAAAGAGTTGGCCATGGCCACATGTCTGCCTAGAAACAGATTCGTTTGGGCATTTGTTTATGTTTGGCTCTAAAAGTCAAATTCCACTGGGTACATGTAGTCTTGGATCTCCATCCCATGAGTCAAACGTAGTGAATGAACGACGGGAGACGCTCTTCTGCAGTTGCACCGCACGAAAATGGCTCGCTTCACACGCCTCCGCCTACATGGATTTGGACTGTTTGTTCTAGGACCGACCGACCTGAAATATACTCCTGCTTGCATGAGAACATGTAACTATCCTGCTGCAAGCGATATTTTGGAATGTCATTTGAGATTTTCTCTTGATGCTTTTGCTTCTTTTTGTGGGATACTAGGCAGTCCTGTGCTTCAAGCTTCAAAGACTGGCTTAGAAACTATACCTTAAATGGTGTGACCGCCGTTTTGAGACCTTTGGTGACTAGTAGGGGTTTGTACGCCACTCAGTGTTCCTTCCTACGCCTTGACAGGACTTCTCGTTGCACAGCCACTGTTTGTATGTCAAAGTGCTGCGTCCAGACGAACTGCTGTAGCAGCGACATTGTCCATTCTTGCAAATGCGCCCAGCATTGTAAGAGCCGATGAGATTGATGATGAAGTTGCTGACTACATCAAGAAGATGAAGTGCCTGGGACTCTAAAGGGACTTGATGAGAAAGACGATTGCGAGTCATTCTCCTGAGAAAATTGATACTGACGTGGTGGCAGTAGAGTCTACCTAACCTCATGCTTACTACTTACTACCAACATACGTAGCATACTACATATGCTTGTGCCGTACGCTGTAAAGTGGGGCAATCCTGGCAATCCAGACGAGCGATGATGCGCCACGTGCCAAAACAAGCCTCCATCCAAGGAAGTTTATTGTCGTCGAGGATAATGACAAGCCCTGGAGACAAAAAGAGCAGTTCAATTACAACTACGAATTTCAGGAGGGGCAGAAAGAATTTGTGAGGCAGAAATACTTGAAGATGAAGGAAATGGCAGCTTGGCGACACTATTTTCCCCAAGGTTGACCTCTGTGCGCAAGAAAACTGCGAAGGATTTTCTAGGTCCCATCGTGTTGCCTTGAAACTTGGTATCTGTCCCACTGAGGTTAAGAACGCCAGAAATGAAAAGGAACGGGAAAAGGCAGCGGGACTTGAGCATTGACCCACTTACTGAGTGGTCTTTGGGTACAAACCGCATATTGTATATGACATACAGTAATACATCAGAGCTGACGAACTTACATCGAGGTTGACATATCAGTATTCAGGCCTTGCAGAGAAAAGACTCCGCGATTCAGCACCTCTCGCACAACTAATGCAGAACACGTGAATGTACTGTATGTAAACACACATGTGGTTGGTTTGCAGGCCCCTTTGATTCTGACTATTCATTGCATCAACAACAGTTGCAGGCGATGCGGGTGATGAAGAATGAATGGCTGAGGGAGTCGGTTTCCATCACTGACACTGATTTGCTGAAAGGATTTTCGTAGGACCGCCATGAAAGGATCATCGGTTGCAGCAAGAGTCGCACCTCGGATGGCGATTTTGGTTGCTGAAAAGGTTGCTGAAAAGGTGCCAGCATGCTCTAACGACAGCAATGGCAATGTAGGAATGGAGCTCGCCTGTTTTTGGTGATGGACCTGCAGCTGTAATGCAACAGAGGTTCCAGGGACATAGATAGATGTTTCCAGATGTTTGGGGAATGGATTATCTTTTGGACTGTTCCAAGGAATGTTGGCTTTGGCTTGTTTGTGGCAAGCACTGTTGAATCTTTTTCCAACCGCTATACAAAGAAAAGTAGCTTGACGGATTCCTTTTTAAGAGCACCTGTGCTGGCGCCCGTGAAGAGTGGAGTGACTCACATCTACTTGGTCGATTGTTCCTGTACCAATGCCTTTTTGAACACCTAGTGCTGTGCGAATTTGGACGCACTGGCTCGTTCTACTCCTCATATGCTGGGGAAGCACTACGTGCTACAGCGTTTGTGCAAGCCTGCACTGCTGCCATTAGACATTCAAAGAGTTCCAGACAACCTAGAGCCATGGCGATCAAGACAGCTGGTGAGGTGGGATCTTCCGCAGATCCTTTCGAAGTAGAAGTGAAGCGAGCAGCATACTTTCTCAGCTTCCCTGTTCCTGTTCTCTTCCATCCTTTTGCTCAGAATCCTGTGGCCAATGGTAACACGGAGACCAATGGTAACACAACCACCACCTCCTAAGGGACCAGCCGACCGTTGGAGCTCGGACACCTCCGACCCCGCGCGCCGCGCTCACACCGCGGTGCGATGAGCGTGATCAGGGGATCGCCTTGAAGACGCCCCAGACGCCCTTCACGCTCTCTTACTATGCTCCGCATGATGGTGGCAGACGGACGGACGATCCTTGCGGACGATCGGGGGCGACGACGACGTATCATAAGATGGCGTGCTGTGGGAGTGTGCAAGATGTATTACGGGGTATCATAACCTCCCCATAGATAGAAAGAGAATGTCCATTGAACATGTGTTGGAAGTAGTTCCCATCTATTTCAGGGCCACCTGTAAGACCAAGCCAAGACATTGCGGCAGGACAACCTATGAGCGTGAAATCTCCAACTGCGAAGCAGTCCGGGCCTTGATGCCATTGCGGAGAGTGCGCAGTCCTGTAGTAGTTTTGCCGATTCGGGATCAGCAGTTGGCTGCAGATGCAAGCCCCCATATGCTCACGTTGGATGAGAGGTTGGTGACCAGGGCAAAAGCAGAGCGTACTTGAAGATGGATAGGCGCAGCCGACCCTGCACTATGGATGAGTGCTTGATTTGCCCGCGCAGATAGTAGTACGACTGTTTTCGACCTGAGTCATGGACCCTTTAACAGCCATACTCTTGAGTCTTAAACGCTTCTCTTCGTCAAGGAGCTTGGTGGGAAGGGTTCGTGGTCAAGCTGTCCCTACTTGCACTAGTTTCTGATGTTGTTGTCCTAGTCAGCCCTTCTTGAACTGCTTTTCAAGCCAACTCGTATAAAGAGAGTTTCTTGCCGGATTCAATCCATTGGTGCTGGCACAGTTCGTGCGGTTGTGCACTTGCCTACAATGACATGCAGCGATTTGTTTCAGCTGGGTGGCCGATTTTCAAAGTAAATTGATGACAGATGGGGTGAATGTACCCTCAACACCAAGAGAGAACAAAGCTGTGTTTCTTGGCCAAATGTATCAACAATTCCTTGGAGCTTTCTTTTTCTCATCAACTTGTCTGCATGCCTCAGTATTGGCAAGCATCGAGGAATATAGCATGCATTCGCAGAGAAACAGGGTAACCATGGGTAACCCCCGCTCAAGCTCCTTTCTTTTTCCGGGGCATTTTTCGCTTGATGGAAGCCATGGCCGCGCTCCTCCCGCGGGCCAAAGACTTTGGACTCGCATTGCCCGCACCTCCAACGCGACCTCAAAGGCCTTCTGCCAGTACTGCTTTCAGGGGCAGTTTTGGCTTGCGCTGCTTCGCTCTCCCGGCAGTAGCGAGCTTCTTGACAAGTCTGAGGAGTCAAAGCCGCAGGCGTTTCAGTGCGCCCAGACGCGCTGTGAACACAGATGCGGAGTACAAGATTGACCTGGAGGGCCTAGTCTCGCTCTGTAAGCGCCGTGGTTTCGTTTTCCCCAGTGGCGAAATCTATGGTGGATACAATGGCTTTTTCGACTATGGCCCTTTGGGTGCAGAATTGAAGAACAATTTGAAACGGATGTGGTGGCGCAAGATGGTCCATTGTCGGGATGATGTCATCGGTTTGGACTCCTCGATTGTGACCACGCCCTCGGTGCACCAAGCCTCGGGCCATGTGGACAACTTCTCGGATCCGATGGTCGACTGCACGGAGAGCAAGAAGAGATTCCGAGCGGATCAGCTCATGTGGGCCAAAGTGGAGCTGGAGGATGGAACGAGTGCTGGATATGTTTCCATGGTTGAAGATGGTAACGTGGAAGTCGCTTTGAAGAAGGCAGCGAAGAAGCTCATCAAGCAGAAGAAGATTGAAGGTGGTTTCAAGGAGCTGGAGATCAAAGATATGACTGACGCCACAGAGGAGGAGGTGAAGCTGATCCCTTCACCAGCTACTGGACTTCCTGGAAGCCTCACAGGAGCTAGGGCCTTCAACTTGATGTTTGAAACTTATGTGGGACCATACAGTGATGGTGCCTCAAAGAGTTACTTGCGCCCAGAGACTGCACAGGGCATTTTTGTGAACTTCAAGACGGTGACCTATGTGATGAGGCAGAAGATCCCCTTCGGCATCGCACAAATTGGGAAGGCTTTTCGGAATGAGATCACCCCGAGGCAGTTCCTTTTTCGCTCCAGGGAGTTTGAGCAGATGGAGATCGAATACTTCATTGATCCAGAGGCGGATTTCAAGGCCATCCAGGAGGAGTGGATTATGGAGATGTGGAACTTCCTGAAGGCGGTGGGGCTGAAGGAAAGCCTTTTGGACCGAGAGGTGCATGAAGGAGAGAAGCTCGCTCACTATGCTCGTGCGTGCACTGACATTGTCTTCACATATCCCTTTGGAACTCAAGAGCTGCTGGGCGTGGCGGCACGGGGGGAGTATGACTTGCAGCAACATGCCCAAGCTAGTGGCGAAAGTTTGGAATACCAGGCGGGCCGGGCAGGACGGACTCACCGTCAAACTACCACCATAAACAACCCACGCATTACACATCCCACACAAAATGACTCTTTGAAAGGCCGTTCCTTTCATGAAAGTAGACGCCCAGTTTGTTGCAAGAGGGCATTTATGAGTTGAACCACTGTGAGGTGCCTGGGCAGAAGCGGAAGTTTGTGCCACACGTCATTGAACCTTCTTGTGGGGTGGACCGGCTTTTCCTGGCGCTTCTGTGCAGTGCATACGATGAGGATGAGATCGATGGCGAAAAACGATCTCTGCTGAGGTTTCATCCCTGTGTGGCACCCATCACATGTGCGATTTTCCCTTTGCTCAAGAATAAACCACCGTTGGTTGAGAAGGCCAAAGGGTTAGCTGCAATGCTGCGGTCCTCGGGTTTCAATGTCCTTTATGACGAGGCGGGGACCATTGGAAAGCGCTACCGACGGATGGATGAGGTTGGAACACCATTCTGCTGCACCATTGACTTCGACACACTGGAGGACGATACGGTTACAATCCGCAGGCGAGATGATCCCTTGAAAGTGGAGCGAAAGAAGCGCGAAGACATCGGTGCCTTTCTGATGAAGGAGTGTCAGCTTCCAGAGCAGTGACCAACGCGGAAAGAAACGAGGGCGTAGAAATCGCCTACTGCACCTTCTAGCTACTAGCAGACAGCTGCAGAAATTCTGTATCTAAGATTAGATGATGCACCAGCCAAAAGAAACACACCATGGTCACAATGAGGATGTTGCTGGAAGGCGTAGAAGGCCTTTCTAGCCCTTGCTACAAAACTCTTCGAGCCTCGGACGTCGGAGCCGAGAGTTCTTGCCGCTCAACAGGCTTCCCAGAGAGTTCTTGGCGCAAGAGGCCATCGCCACGGGCAGTGCCAAAGCTTGGGGCTTGGACATACCGACGCATTCTTGCCGTAAAGAACGCTAGGAGGTAGGTGAGGTGGTAGCTAGAGGTAGGTAGCTAGTAGTAGAAGCTAGGTAGCCAGTACCTTACAGACTAGTATGGACGCCGGATAGCTCACGCTTCTTCGAGGAAGCTCCCCCCGCCGCCCTAAAGGCGGCGAAAGAAGCTTCCTTGAAGAAGCGCTCGCACTAATGATTTGGTTTCTAGATTTTTAGGGAAACTTAACATTAGAAAAAGGGGACTGGCATCCAAGAAGTACGACGAGGTTTGAAGCGGAGGAGTGTTTTGTCTTTCTGCAATTTGAGACACCCTGCGACTCTATAATACAGAACTACCTATGGCAAGAGCAGCAAATCGTTACTTGAGACAAGTCATAGACGTAGTTGCTCAGAGCGCATGTGCCGCGAGGGGGTGGTCAAAAAACAGGTCTCTTACAGCACCGGCGCATGGGTCTATACTACTTTCTGACCCCGTCCAAAGCAGACCGAGTTGACATCGAAGCACCGAGGTGAGACGGGAGCAGCCGGATGCTCCTGCCCACATGGATCCAAAGGTCAAGCGCAGCTCAGCGAGCATGTCAGCGGCTTCTCACTGGGAGGATCATTTGCCAAGGATCAGCATTTATTTGCCAGTATTTCTTAAGTCCATTGCAATGATACCCCCGACTCTGGGGCCTACAGGGCGTGGCCTGGTCCCCAAAGATATGTTCTTGCATGCTTCTACAAGGCACAGGTCCTTAGGCAGTTGAATCCGTTGCGACACTTCGTCTGGTGGCTAGCCCTTTGCTGTTTTGTTCCCCAGATAGCGAAGCTGTAGGGGTTCTTACTTCTCAATGGATGGGTTCCTGATTGCGAAAATTGGCTGCCGCTGCCGCTGCCGCCTTGTTTCCCAAGCTTGTCTCCCGTCATGATTTCGCTCTTGGCTGCCGCTGCCGCCTTGTCTGTGAAGCTTGTCTCCGTTGGCTGCCGCTGCCGCCTTGTCTCCCAAGCTTGGCTCCCTTCATGATTTCGCTTTTGGCTGCCGCTGCTGCCTTGTTTGTGAAGCTTGTCTCCCTTCATGATTTCGCTCTTGGCTGCCTCTGCCGCCTTGTCTCCCAAGCTTGTCTCCCTTCACGATTTCGCTTTTGGCTGCCGCTGCCGCCTTGTCTCCCAAGCTTGTCTCCCTTCATGATTTCGCTTTTGGCTGCCTCTGCCGGCTTGTCATCCAAGCTTGTCTCCCTTCATGGTTTCGCTCTTGGCTGCCGCTGCCGCCTTGTCTGTGAAGCTTGTCTCCCTTAATGATTTCGCTCTTGGCTGCCTCTGCTGGCTTGTCTTCCAGGCTTGTCTCCCTTCATGATTTCGCTCTTGGCTGCCGCTGCCAGCTTGTCTCCCAAGCTTGTCTCCCTTCATGATTTCGCTTTTGGCTGCC